CGATGCGTGCTGAGACGTGCGTGCTACGTCGTGCGTTGAGAGATCGCGAGCAGCGACGTGCGTGCTGTGTGGCTTGCGCGCTGACGCGTGCGCGCGCGCGTGCGCAGAGCTGCGCATCCGCCACGACGGGCCGTGCCGCATGGAGGACGTGGACACGCGCCCGCTTGACACCGTGCGCCTGTGCCACTACGCCGACCACACGGCGCTGTGGATGCCGCTGTGCGCCAGCGACGGCCGCACCTACCCCAACCTCTTCGTGTTCAAGTGCGCGCAGGCGCGCCTGCTCATGCCCAAGGGTGAGTCACGCCTTCTCGCCCCCGCCGACACCCCCTCCTAGCATCAAACACTAGCGCGAACCCTCTCCAGGAAATGCATACTGAATGAAGAACACGAATAATTAATAAATCTGTGGTCACAGGGTAAAAGTTCTAAGTCAAAAATCTGAGTTTGGCGAAAACAAGGGTTAGATTATTGAGCCGTCATTGAAGAGTGGTATGAAGCTATATTTCCCAACGAGTTTTTGACGATAAAGAGGCAACATTTGAATTCGGTTGTTTTACTAAAATAAAATATAGATACTTAACGTTTAGTTTCAGTACTTAATCCTATTTCGCCCAAAAAATTACGTAAGAACTTTTACACGGAGACAACAGTTATTAACAAATATAGTTAATAAACATAATTGTGCCGACCCATCCATCCATAACGACGATGACGGTTAATGTTATGTTGCCCGGGAACTTGCTAATATGGCAAGCTGGATAGAGCCAGAGAAGTGAAACGACTTCGTTATCATTTCTCATAGTTCATTTATGTACGATTGTGTTAAATTGATACAGTGCAATTTCTATTGTATATTTGTATATTTTTTGTATATTTATTTCTTATTCCACAAGAAAGAAGAATTTTTATATAGAAGCAGATCGACAGCAAGGTAATTCTAGCTCCAATAGTAATTAAAAAATGAAAATCGTTAAATAAAACGTTACTATATTTTTGGTGGTCTAATTATTGTCTAGTTTCAGTGTTTAGTGATATGTCACTCAGTTCTTGACCATTAAGTTTTAATATTTTAACTTTTCAGTACCAAATATTTCAAGGAAAATTATTTTTTAAACTATCGCTACATACTAGCGTACAATTGTGAAATTTTAGGAGTAAATTAAAAATTGCTTAATCTTTATTATAGAAAGCTTATAGGTTGCATGTGTATTGTCTTGAAAACAAATAACTGATCATATAAAACCTTCAAATAATTGAATATATGAGTTTCACACATATCGTTAAATTAAATAAATGGTACATTAAAATTACTTCAATGTACGTCAATGAAGCAATACAATCAGTAAAAGAACATATTTTTGTGAAGTGAATTAAACTGTGGCGAGTTTATTAATGAGAAATATACGCTCGTTTATTTTTCTGAAACATCAAACACGATTTTTTCAAGATTGTTGAATTAATAGACACATTAAAAGAAAATTAAGTCACTCGTAAAACAATATTCTTCATTGTCATTCGTTTACTTCAGTAATCAAATCTACAAACGCTACGTATGTAGTATCTTTAATGGAACATATTCTTTATTTTTCGGGCTGTTCAGCTACCGCGTATTCTATAGTGCGTCTTAAAATATTTCTGTACACTAATAACATTAAACGAACTTCCGGGATGTGTGTGCTCGAAATAAAAAGTGTGAATCTTCTTTCTTCATAGGGCTCATCATCTTCACATCAGTATAATTTGTCAATATATAACGTTGCTAGTTCCAATAGAAGGCCTGTTAAAAGAAAGAGGTTTTAATCTGAAAAGGAGATTTTAATCGGGTTCAATATGTATTTAAAACACAGTCGATATTTCGTGACCTAGCGCGATCAAGTGTATGTGTGTGGGGTTATAATCACGTTTGAGTGCAAATATTAGTTGGTTAGAAGAGATATTAGTGTCCCAGAATAAATGTGACGAACTTCTGGGGTATGCAGAGTGGTTGAAAATGGATCACATTTTGCCTATGAACGTATATGGATGACTGCATAGAAGGGTCTCTCCTTTAAGTTTTTAAGATGTACCATTTATCTGATTTTTAAACAATTTCTTGTGCACAGATATTTCGCAGTTCACGCTCTTCCACCATTCTCGGGGGGGGGGGAGGTCATTGGAACTTGTAATCCTTCACACTGAAGTGGTACTGGACCTTGGCCTTTTAGGTCGGTTGTCGCCCCCTTTTTTTCAATATTACGCCATTATAATCAACTTATACTATTTCAAGTATCAACTGAAACCAAAAGTGGACAAGAACATACGTCAACAGCTCGCATTCATGTAAAAGAAAGCAAATGTGATCTAGCACTGCTGCTGCACATATTACACGGAATTTATCTACAATACAATATAGTACAAGTACTTGCGTATTTCTCCGGTGCATTCTAGGCGTGCTGAAAGTGAAAGGGGTTCAATGGTCCCGAATGTGGCTTTTTTCAGTGTAGCGTGCTTTCTATCTCAATGAGTGGGGCTCTACTCCCCACGGCAGCGACCGGAAGTGCAGCCGGCATGCACTGATGACCGCGCTGTGCGTTGCAGGCAGGCGAGCGCTTTGTTACAGCAGTCTTTTTTTATCATCATTCAGGAATTCACAAGGGCCACTCTCTTTCTTCTAGTGTAATATCTCGAATGGGATATTGGAAAAACTGATTATGGAATGGATAACTTTAATCGTCTGGCCATTTATGAAGTGATGAATAACTTACATGATATGGGTTTTTGTAATACAGTTTGACACATTGACTTTTGTTTCTATATGCTGCTAGTGTTTATATTGTTTTGATGCACCTGCAGGGAATTAGAAATGTTATTACTGAACTATGCAGTACTACATTATTCTACACATTTCTAATTTAATTTGTCACATAAAATAAATTTTTATATTAAATTCATAACATTTACGAAAAATAAAATGGAACTAAATAATATAATATGAATATTTGATTCAGTAAGTATGGTCCAGCATTCTCAACGAATCAATAAGTCATTTTCATTGTGCATAGCTTCCGAGATACCTCATGTTTATGACCAACCGTGCTATGAAGCAGGTTACCCAGAAGAAACATGGAAGAAGAATTAACGGCCGAAAGTGTAATGGAAGGTTTGAAAAGACCTAATTTCGGATATTATGACCTACGAAACAACCCAGAATCATGAGGAGACATTTGGGAGACCGAAACATTTTTTAAGGGCGTAGAATGCACCACCTATATATCTGTAACGAAATATGGCCAATAGATGTTTACATGCGAATTGAGGCCTAGAGTGTATTCTCAGTCATCCGGAATCTCAAACCCTACAGTCTTCTTTCGTTTTAGCCCGTCCTGGTGGCATAGCACAATACTTTTGAGGCTTGTGCTCCTTTATCTCGAATACTTCAATGGGACCGCTTTCGCTACCAGGGTTGCACACTGAGGGGTTACTCGTCACCGAAATGTTGGTCTCTGGAAATAATGTCATTTCCATCCGTTAACTTGTGCTGGCATCCTGGATTTGCTAGTTTAGAGGGGCAAGTTCCTCGTTGACTAGGGGGAGTTGGGCTGCATCGATTCATTCATTGATGTTCCGGGCACGTCTACTGTTATGGTCTTTAGTCCCGTTAGTGCAATGAATGATTTTGATGCTGAAGGTGGCGGTGGTCCTCCCCTGCCGGATGGTGACATCCGGCGCCGACCTTCACGCCGTCTTGCGGGAGATCTCCCTTTCCAGGTACCTCCCACAGCGGGGCATCACCCCAGTCTCGAGAAATTCAAAGTTCCCGACTGGTCTCCAGTCTTGTGTAGAGCATGTAATTGTGTGTGTATATGTGCAAGGGAGGAGGATAGTGTAAGAAAGAGGAAGAAAATATCACGCGCGTTTCATGGCCGTTTGTTAGGGTACTACTCCAGCATTCGCATGGGGTCGATCGAAGAAACCACGGAAAATCACCGATCGGAGAACCAGGCCGCTAAAATTTTTCTCTTAACAGCGACCGAACTCGACCAAGTTCAGTAGCTAGTGTCGCAAATTCGCCACTGTCGGGACTAGAACCAACAGCTTTCCGGACAGTCGTTGCAAAGAGTATGCATCGAAGAGAGATATGGGAGATTGGTGTATGCACAAAAGTCTACATTTGATATAATGCACCATTCTCTGTTGGATGGAGTAGGCTTGTGTGGAGAGTAGGAATCGAATTTTGAGGCTTAAATACCTTTGAAAGATGTTTAAAAAATGGCAAAATTAAGACAAAGTTCACTTCCATGCACAACGCAGTCCAATTGACACTCATCAACCAATGCTATTGACTTTTCAGATACGGGCTTTATTTAGAATCTCAAAAGTATTCATGCATTCCTAACATTTTTAAAATATGGAAAGAGTATAAACAACATATTCAGCAGTTTTTAAAGAATGCTTGGACCTAGAAAACAGCCAATGTGCCATTTTTTGAAAGTTTAACTTTCTCAGTTGAAGCTATTCTATTTGAAAATTATTTAACTATTAAACTCTTCACTTTGAAAGCTAAATACGTTAACATTAATTTCTTTGTAAAATGGTAATTATTCTAAAATAACGAGGGAATTTTGTTCTTCCAAAGGTTCGACTCAATACAGAATATGTCCTTAATTGTAAAGTCAATAATATTAAGCTCCGCTCAGCCATTACAATCCTGAGCGATGAAATGGAAAGGCCGCAATTACCCAGAAAGAGATTTTGTAATGAAAATCTAAAGCGCCGAACGCTCACTCACTGGCTGATGCCACTATCGTCTTCATTTCATTATTTAATACCGAGTTAATGAGGTGTAATTCACAAATGTAACGATTTCCGTTAGACGCATTCCTTAATACGAAAATGATGAGCACGCTTTCAGAGAATGGACACTTGTAATTCGAGTAGATCAGCATATATGTTGTACAATACTTCTCCGTCCGCAACTAAAACTTCGTGGACTGGAAGGCCAGGGCGAATGTCCTTACGAGTGTGAATATTCGATCTTCGCTAAGTAGCTGGATCGCACGATGTTACTGCCAGAATGAGTTTTCAGTAGGTCGGCTGCACTGGTCGGTTGTTGGTTTCCTCTGACCAGTCCGGGACGAACGCCGAAGCAGTCCCTTAAAGAACGGGACACGGCCGCGCGCAGTCTTCCCTCCACAATTATATAACCACCCCCATTCTTAGCGCTCCGGCAAATTGTTGATCCCCTAAGACTAAATTATCTCCTAGGACAGAGCTTGGCACACGAGAACGTAGA